GTATATATACATAGTAGCTTATTTATATATATATATATATATATATATATATATATATTGTATATTAGAAAACTACATCTTCAACAGCTTCATAATTGAGCTTCAGATCAATGTTCCACACAAGTAATAGAACTAAATATATTGTATTATAATACAATAATGTGTGTGCGTGGGTGGGGTGAAGGGGGAACTGTTAGATCATTACTCTGGACATTTGGTGATTTATGCAAACAGACACAGGCCTTGTTGGTCAACATGAAAATACACACACAGACACACACCTTTACTACTAACACTAACAAAACTTGTCTCTAACCTACTCAAATATCACAAAACGTCTTAACATGTTAGCAAGTTATTACAGACACATAAATTCAATATTCATAACATACCTGAAAAATGGGGAGAAATAGAGAGTGATGGAGTGTTGTTTCTGCAGGGAGAACTTTACTGTAATGGGGAAAGTAACGCAATTTCACGTGGGTGGAGACGGAAGCAATCAATATCAGACTATTAGATCAAGACCCCTCTAGATGACTGGTAAAACTATTACTGCTAAAGAATGAAGTAAACAAACTCTCTTTTAGCCTTTTAACCAATCTTTTTAAACATGACAGATTTTCAACAGCTTTATGTTCTGTTTTTTTTAACTTCACAGATTTTAACACCATTACACGCCATGATTTTAATACTGTTTTTTTTTTTAAACTTTGTATTCAATTTTAACTTGTCAGAGACACTGACTGAGTGGCTGTGGCAGAGCAGCAGCGCTGTCTCAGCCTGCAGCAGTGTTTGACGGTGAAGAGGCACAGCTCTGTGTGCTACTGGTCAATCATGTCGTTGACACACTGGACAGACACAACTAGAAACTGGCAGTAGGGCTCAATGTCACTTATTTGTGCTTTCTTTTTTTCCTTCTCTCTTGCTTTTGAAACTCTTTCCTCCTCCATCATCTGGCTCCCTGTAAAGGTGATGCGTAGCTCTTCAGCAAAAGTGGTGGTGGCATTTTTATCCGTGGGGGAGATGACGCCTTTCTTGAGAGATTACATGATGCAGAACATCACTGGAATCCAATGGGTGGCCAGTGAGGCCTGGGCTACAGCATCTGTCTTCACATGGAGCAAGTATTACCCCTACATGGGGGGCACCATTGGGTTTGGCATTAGGACAGGTTATATATCCAGACTCAGTGACTACCTCCAGACAGTAAACCCTCAGATGTATCCAAATAATGTTTTGGTTAAGGAGCTCTGGGAGGCTCTGTATGGTTGCAGTCCTTCTGTGTTCCCTGGCTCCCAGTTGCCTCCCTGCACAGGGCAGGAGTCCCTGTTGGAGCAGCATTCAGCCTACATGAATACATCCAGCCCTAGAGTAGCATATAACGCCTATAAGGCTGTATATGCAATTGCTCATTCCCTCCACAACCTTCTTCTCTGTCAACCAGGCAGTGGGCCTTTTCAAAACAACTCATGTGCTCAAAGCAACAACATACATCCCTGGCAGGTATAATCCAGTATTCTTACTGATACAGTATTACATTGAAAATCTTATTATTTTAAAGTAATTCATATTATTAAGTATAATAGACATATAAGTTTAATCTGTATTTTCTATTGGTTTTCAAGCTCCAATATTACCTCCAGGAAGTGAAATTTGAAATTGCCGGGGAGGAGGTGAACTTTGACCTGAAGGGCGACTCCATACCCTATTATGATATCATCAACTGGCAGAGGCACAGGCGGAATCATTGAGTTTGTCAACGTGGGGTTGTTTGATGGAACCAAGCCT